TAATTACGCAGGTATGAATACTAGCCGAAGGACGAGTGAACTGAGTAGCCCTAATCTCGGTAAATCTTCATCCCAGATAGCGAATAAAGTAACAAGGGATAACACAGACCCCCAGGCTAAAAACCCAACAATCAGCCTTGAGAAAAACAACACGCACTCCAACGTCACAGACATTCCCATTATGGTGCAGCAGACAATTCACAATTTTAACACGGGAGAATACACCTCAGAGGAGGAACAGGGTGCATCGGGCCCTAACCCAATGGGAAATTGGCTGTTACCTACTTCACCCAACAGTACATGGAATTTATGTGACAATTCGTTACCCCAAAGCATGGATATCCATAAACCCCCAAGCCAGACGAGTCAAAACGAGCTGCTTTTTGAGACACCGAGGAAATTCAGCTCGAACTTCCAACGATTAATAAGGGAAAAATCAAAACTTACCCTTACCACCACAAGCAACAAGTTCAAGCCTCTCACAGACGATTCAGATTTAGACGATGAAATCGGTAAAATCGTGAAGAGGAAGCGTAAGAATACACCCAAAGACGCCATCCCTAACAACAAAGCCACTGAAAAGCAAGCCACAAATGTACCCGCCCCAGTACAAACCAAAAAAATAATAACCAACAAATCGTACTGGTGGCACTAGACGCTGCAAAAGCCTTTGACACGGTTTGGACTGACGGTTTAATCTATAAAATGTTTGTGAAGGATTACTCCTGTGTACCTTGTGAAAACAATTTTAAGCTACCTACAAAACAGAACATATCACATTAAAATAAACGAAACCATTAAGGTACCATTTGGGTAGTTGCGTCAAGAGACAAGCGACCACTGAAGCGACCCCAAGGTCGAGTAGGACGACAGATGCATAAATGTTACGCTTGGTACATTTCGCAAGCTTGAGAAGTGTCGCGCGACACTTACAGGATAACCATTCGAGGGAACGATCAGCGTTACCAGACCTACTGTTTTCACGTAGATCTACTGTTTTTGTATCTAGCAAATTGTGTTCTTAATTTATTAAGTTTGCCTCATTCTTCAGCAAATGGTTAAAGAATATTTTCTCTAGTAAATTTTCTGCAGTAAAAGCAGCGTAATAAGCATCCACTACTCTAGGTTGGCACCATAAAAAAAATAAAGAATTAATAGGGCATCATAAATGTTACGAGAAAGGCATTTGTACATTTACATTACATTATTAATGCAATCATCAAAATTCAATGGTATCCGGACACATTAAAAGTTGTTAATGTGGTTCCGATACACAAACAAGGTAAAAATAGATTTGATATCGAGAGTTATCGCCCCATATCTCTTCTAAGTAGCATCGCCAAAATCACAGATCGTGTCCTGCTCACGAGGCTACATACTTACGAACAGGACAATCCGATTATTCCGTCAGAACAGTACGGTTTCAAAGCTGGACACAGTACGATTGCGCAAGTACTACGAATAGCTCACCATGCTAAAAAAGCAATGAATCAAAACAAGCAAACAGTACTTGTTGCACTCGATGCTGCGAAGGAATTTGACACTGTCTGGACTGATGGATTAATCTACAAAATGTTCATGAATGATTACCCTGTTTCCATTGTAAAAACAATTCAAACATACTTACTTAACCGTAAATTCTACGTTAAAATCAATAACTCCAGATAAGGACCATACACTGCGCAGGCGGGAGTACCCCAAGGTTCGGTACTTGCGCCGCATCTATATACTATTATGACACATGATTTCCCCATGGGACATAATGGTGTACAGACGGCCCTGTACGCCGACGATACTTGTGTATTCAAAACCTCACAATCAGCTGAAATTGCGACCAGAAGGCTGGACATTCATATAAACCGAACGTTGGTCCCCTATCTAAGAGATAATAAAATCAATATAAATCCCACAAAAACAGAAAGTCTCATTCTTACGCATAGACAGCAGGAAGGCATAATCACAAACCCCAAAGTACAAGGAAATGAAATAATAACTAAGGATCAAATGAAATATCTCGGTTTTATATTAGATAGGAGACTGACGTTTAGGAAACACGTAGAAAATAGAATCTCACTTGCCACAGGAGCGTTAAAATCACTGTATCCGATTTTGCACAGGAGAAGTGGTGCATCTACCAAAAATAAGCTCTTAATATATAGGCAAATAATAAGGCCAATCCTAACATATGGAAGTCCAGTCTTCTGTTCGATGGCTAACACTCACTTCTGTAAAATGCAGCGAATACAAAACAAGTGTCTTCGGCTGGCATTGGGGTATGACCGCTATGCCAGAATTCAAGATATGCACGTGCAAACATCAATGGAGACTATTAAAGATCACATCATTCGCATTTCTGAAAAATTTTATGGCAAATGCCTTCCCCCTGAACTATATAATGACATAACATCGATTCATCATGATGATGGTGCTAATGGTTGTTTGATAGTGCACTTAAGATCTATACGAACAACAAATGACATACATCCATCCTAGCAGCGAAAACCCCACTGAATACTCAAATTACAAAGTCGACTAGTTAGCAACTTTGGTCGGACGGACGACTGCACGGTGACGTCATCGCCCGGTGCAAAAATTCGTGGCTTGCTGCGATTTTTGTAGTGGACGTTGTTGCTACTGTGTAGTCTAGTAATTTGAATCTTCATGCACTAAACTACCACAAGACGCACTTACATACAAGGACAACCCTGTTTTTTACAAACGGTTTTTCAGGGAAACACAGACAAAAGTAAAATCCTACAAAAACCTAATACTATCCCATTACCGATCTACTAATTAGCCAATATTAACTAATAATATCGTTTTACGATAAGGAGTAGTTATATCACACATAATTAATAAATAACAAGCGCTATTTACGCAGCCTTGACATCGGCTATGGTCTAATTTCCCTTTTTTAGATCATCGCAGAAGAGAACACTTCTTGAAGTCATGGAAGAAATCCTTCTGTTATAATAAAATGTAAATAGTAATTTGTTATAAGAATGTAAATTTGTATATATGTAAATAAAGAGGTTTTGAGAGAGAGAGCGATTAATTGTGAATTCTTGTACTGGATGGGGATGGTACCGTGGTGTCTAGTAATTTGGCATTTTCACGTACAAAAACTAACATGAGACTTACTCACATACAAGGACAACCCTGTTTTTTACGACGGTGTTTTTCAGGGAAGACAGACAAAATTAAATTCAGACAAAAACTCCACACTTTTCCAGTACCGCTCTTGCAAGTCAGCCAAAAATGCCATATAATGTTGCATAAATAAGGAGATGGCACAATAAATGAGAATTTAAAAACTGAATGGATATCTACAGCCTTGATATCGGTCATGGCCACTTCAAGGTATACAGAAGATTACTCTTCCAAGTTACAGGAAGAAATCTATGTTAAATTGTAAATATATCATGAAGTTAAAATGTAGAATGTGTAAATATGTAAATAAAGATATATGAAATAAAAAAAAAAAAATGAATGAAATCGAGGCTTGCCACGTTCGGCACGATCACCTCGCTGGAGATGGATTTCACCATCCAGTCAAGTAAAATAGTTATACACAGACATAGACTATACAAAATGACACACATACATACAAGGACAACCCTGGTTTTTCAAAGTTTTTCCCAGGGAAGACAATCACAAGTAAACTCCCACAAAAACTAACACAAAAAATTCTCGATCGCAAACTCGCCAATATTGCCATATAATATCGTCCGATAAGGAGATGGCACGACACATTCATCAATTATTAATTGGATATTCGGTATTTCGCGCTAGGGCGTCTCGCTCAGACAGCCGGGCACGCGAAGATGCTTCTACTCGTAGTTTCGCGAATGAGAATATCTTTGTTTATACCCTATTCAATGACATGTATATAGTAAATATGTAAATAAAGAGATTTTAAAGTAAAAAAAAAGTTACTTCAAATAAACGCTCTGCTTCCGAAATACTTACCCCTTCTCCACATCCTTCCGACGCTATACCAGATAACCTCTTCGTTACACCTTAAAATGTAACGGTACCAAAGAAACTTAAGGCAATGACGCCTAATAGCCAACTGCTTCAACCAGTTACGCAATATATCGACGAGCATTTAGGAATTCATTCTTAATTTTGATGAACTGCTAACTTACTCGATAATGTGCATAGTTCTCCAGACGCAATAATCGTCGTGAATGTTAAATAATAGCCTTTATTGCCCAAACGATATAATAATAATAATAATAGAAACTTTATTTATAAATGGAGTACAATAAAATAAAAAAAAGAACGTGTATACAAAATATAAATAAAGTTAGAGTATCGATAAGTACTGATGTACTTGTTTCGATAATAGAAAATATGATTAATATTTATATTTAAAAATATTAGTAATTAATAAAAATAAAAAATAAGAATAATAATAAAAAATAATAATAATGATAGTAATATTAATAGCTAAAATTAGATTTACAATTTAAAATTTACACTAATAACTAGAATAAGTATACAATAAAAAATAAAATATAATACATATTTAGTAAAAGAGTGCTAAAAATGGATTCAATTAAAATTATTTATATAGTTCATCTATTAAGGCATTAAAAAAGGATCTTGGAGTCTTTTGTAAAAATGTTCTTAAGTGTTTTTTGAATGTACTTGTGTTTTGTATCATTTTGGTAGTTTTGGGGATATAAATCCCTTTACAGAGCAACCCAAAAACATTAATAATATAGTAATCATTAACAATATAGTAAGAATTACAAATATAATATGGATATTATGAAAAACAGTGAATACAAAAAAAATAAATAAATAAATAAATATAAAAGAACAAAAAATATAACAAAAAAGAAAAGTTTTTAAGCATTGTCATATGTAAAATTATAATATTAAAAATGTAGCTATGCAGTATTCAAATTATGAAATATCACATTTACTTGACTGAATTAAAAAAAAACGCGACTTATGGCATTTTAAAACCTATTATGATATATTTTTTACAGACTGAACAAACTGCATCTGGAGCGACTTCTCACGAAAGAAACTGTACTGTGATCTCGGCTAATTGGGATCCAGCAGAAGCCACATTTGAACCTTTGAATACAGATACTCCGAAAGATTTTAAACAATACATGACTGTTGCTGTGGACTTAGTAATAAGGGGTATACAAGAGCCTGTGAGATTTCTAATTGAAACTCCTGTTCGAGTCTACTCACAAAACGAGAGAAATTTCTGGTACTTTCAAAGAAAAAGTTTGATACAGCAGTTTTTCTTGAATTTGAAAGAGGTGAGTTTACAAAATATTTTTTTTTTTATTTTTTAGTGAAATAAGTATTTATATTTAATTGAAAAATATCTTAAAATGTTATGCAGAATTGCGTCCAAATATCGATCAGCCGCCATTTTATGGTGCCGGTGTCATTGTATTTCAAGCTTTTTTACGAATAGTTAACTTAGGCCGTGTTATTATAAAGTGATTGCAATGGTGTGTGTTAAGTTTATGGCTGTAAAAGCCGAAGTATTAGACAAATAAATAAAACTACCGTAAAACTAAATAGATGTGCATGTAACTAGTTACAAAATGTCTTATTTTATTTAGAACCCGGGGACCGACCGTCTTCGACGCTTCAAATTTTGAGAAGTTTTCAAAGTACCATTTGAATAGTAAATTTTTGCAAATTAAAAGTTTAAGAAGTTTAAAAAAATGTATATAATTATATAATGTCATTAATTACGTAATTTGTAATCTTTGACATCTAGGCAATTTCGTTCATTTAAATTTTCGACATTCTATATCTCGGGAACTACAAAAGTAGATGCCATGATTTTGGTGTCATTTTGCTTCTCTAAGCGTCCCTAGCTTATATCTGAGTCCGATAAGGTTTTGGCTTCCTCTATCCCGAGATCGCGGCACGGACAGACAGACATTGGCACTTTAATATAGTAGGATTGTTGGAGCCTACTCTGCCCTTTCAATTTCATGTTACCATAGATATAGGTAATTTTTTGTCAGTTAAGAAATGTAATGTCATATTTTTTTATATACAGAAATTCAATTTACATTTTGATTCATTTTCACGTTAAAAGAAAAGTATAGAAAAAACAATACAGTCACAAACACATCCATTTGGTCCTTCGAGCCGGATTACAGTCCCATTTAATTACAAAGTATTCATAATTCAACTCCAAGAATTCAGGTTCACCATAAGTCAGTGAATCAGGAATTTTGGATTTTCATCAGTCAGAAATCGCCAGAGCCCACGTTCAAGCAATCTTCAGCTGAACTACGTATGCAAGCAGCATTCATCACATTACAGCGTTCTACATAAAGCTATCAAATTTCTGACCATCCATTAAGTACAGGACACCATCAAGATTTGCAGCCGGTCTTTTGGTAAACTTCACAGTCCTCTTAGTCATTATACAAAGAATATTGATTTAATTTGTATTAGGTTTTCAAGGTCTCATACACAATTAATTGCATTTTCTTATTCTTCATTTTTATATTCTTTAATTGCATTCAGTATCTAGATACGTCCATTTTCAGGCTATTCTGAGATGGATCTAAAAAAGTTGCATGCTAATCGTGGTAGCATTAAAACTCGATTAACGATTTTTCAAAATTTTCTCTCAAAATGTCAATCGAATGTTCAAGAAACAGATTTTACAGAGTTTCGTCGTCGTTACAATCGAGTTGAAAATTTAATAAATGAATTTACAGAAATACAAAATCAAATTGATGCTTTGGTTGATACAGTTAACATTCAAACAGAATTTTCAGCTAGGGAAGAATTCGAAAATAGTTTTTATGCAACTCTTTCACATGCACAAAAATTTATGATCTTGAATACTGAGTCTAGTTTTGAAAATAATTCAGTTTCAAACCATAGTCAACCAACCATCAATAATAATGTTCAAAACGATTTCTCAGGTATCAAATTGCCATTGATAAATCTTCCCACATTTTCAGGGGAACCATGCGATTGGCTTCAATTTCAAGATAGCTTCAAGGCATTAATTATTGATAATTCAAACATTTCAAATATTCAAAGATTTCACTATTTAAAATCTGCACTAAGTGGTGAAGCTTTTGAGACTATCGCAAATATTCAACTTACAAATGATAATTTTGTTATAGCTTGGGATTTATTATGTGATCAATACACTGATAAAAGGGCATTATTGCATGAACATGCCAAAGCTTTATATAACATTGATTCAATCAAGAAAGAATCTTCTAAAGCACTTAAACATATTGTTGATCATGTTAAAATGCACTTACGTTCACTAAAGGTTCTTGGTGAGCCAACTGAGTATTGGGATACATTATTAATTTATTACATTACTACAAAGTTAGACCCAACTACAACGAGAGAATGGGAGAACAAATCATTTTCTGATAAACCAACCTTAGAAGATTTATTGTTTTTTTTTGAAACAAAAATCCCAAATGTTAAAAAAAATTGAAGATAAACAGTTGGAAACAAATCAGAGTCATTCTTCCAAACATTCTTCCTTTTCAACATCAGTATCTAAAAACAAGTCTCAAAAGGCTTTCCATTCTTCAGTTCGCGTTTGTCAGGCATGCCATTCAAATAATCATAGGTTATTTAATTGTAACAAATTTTTAAAAATGAGCATACCCGAGCGAACAGAATTAGTGAAAATTTCAAAACTATGCATAAACTGTCTGAATTCAGGTCATCAATTTCGGTGGTTGTAAAACTTGTTCCGCTAAACACAATACTTTGTTGCATAGTCCTACTCAAAATACAGATAATGTAACATTATGCAGTGTTAATTCAAATTCAAAGCAAGTCTTATTATCCACAATTGTTTGCGAAGTTATGGACAACAAAGGAAATCGCCATGATTGTCGTGCACTTCTCGATTCAGGAAGTCAATCTAATTTCATATGTGCAAATTTTTCTACTGCTTTGGGAATTAAAACACAAGATATCAACATTACGGTTTCTGGTATCACAAAGGTAGAATCTAAAATCAAGACTCGATGTCAAATTCAAATATTTTCCAAACATAACGCATTTTCAACGTCACTTTCATGTCTCATTATGCCATTCATATGTGATTATTTGCCCAATCAGAAGCTAAATACATCTTTAGTATCCATCCCTTCAAATATACAATTAGCAGATCCAGAATTTTATTCTCCAAAGCCCATCAATCTTCTTATAGGAGCCGAGTTATTTTGGTCTATACTTTCCATTGGCCAAATACAGTTGGGTCCCAATTTACCTATCCTTCATAAAACCAAATTCGGTTGGATAATTTCAGGGTCCCTATACAATAACTCTATAGCAAATAAAACTATGGAAAAGAAATCTCATATGTATTGCAACCTTTCAAAAAACATTGAAATGTCATTTCAAGGCGGGGGGCGATATACTGATATTCAAAATCAACTATCCCGTTTTTGGGAAATTGAGGATTGTTCCGAGGATAGATCATATTCAGCAGAAGAAAGGGATTGTGAACAAATTTTCGTTTCAACTCATAAACGTGACTTAAATGGCCGTTTCATTGTTAACATTCCTTTGAAAAGTTCACTAACAAAACTTGGAGATTCCCGCGAGCAAGCTCTCAAACGTTTCTATAATTTAGAGCGTAAACTACAACGTAATAGCGCTCTAAGGGAACCTTATGTCAAATTTATGATCGAATATGAATCATTAGGTCATATGTCTAAGGTTACCGAATCATCATCAGAACATATTCAGTTCTTTTTACCCCACCATGGTGTATTAAAAGAAGAATCTTTAAGTACAAAGTTGAGAGTAGTCTTTGATGGGTCATTTCCTTCTTCTACAGGGTGTGCCATTAATGATCTTCAAATGGTCGGCCCTACTATTCAAAATGACCTTTTTCAAATTCTTATTAGATTTAGAGAACATAGGTATGTAGTAAGTGCTGATATTTGTAAAATGTATCGCCAAATCTTAGTAAATCCCTCTCAACGATGTCTTCAGCAAATATTTTGGCGTTCTGATCCAACTCGATCGCTTGCAGTTTATCAGTTAAATACTGTAACATACGGTACATCAGCTGCACCCTTTTTAGCAATAAGGCCACTATTTCAGTTGGCCAGTGAAAATGAAGTTTCATATCCAATGGCATCGACAATTATTCAAAACGATTTCTATGTGGATGATTTACTTACTGGCTCAGATTCAATTGATGAATTATCATTATATTGTAAACAAGTTTCAGACATACTAAAACAAGGTTGTTTTGATCTTCGCAAATGGATTTCAAATGATCCAAAGGTTTTAATCCACGTTCAGGATTCTTCATTAGATTTAAATATTTTGCAATTAGGGTCTAATGAAAAGACAAAAACCCTTGGTCTTTTCTGGTGTTCTCAATCAGATCATCTAATGTACAATATTAATAATTCATTAACTTCAACAAAAGTTACCAAACGTATCATTTTATCAATCATTGCACAAATATTTGATCCACTTGGATTATTAAGTCCTTGCACTATTGTAGCTAAAATGTTTCTTCAAAAACTTTGGCTAGAAAAACTTTCATGGGATGAATCAGTTCCTGCAGATATTCATACAAGATGGCTTAGATTTCAAAATGAGCTTAAGTATCTTAATAATTTCGACATACCTAGACATGTTAAATGTCAATCTCCTATTCACATGCAACTTCATGTTTTTTCAGATTCCAGTGAAAGAGCGTACGGCGCATGTGCTTTTATTAGAAGTGTTGATGTATTAGGCACAGTGTATGTACACCTTTTAAGTGCAAAAACAAAGGTAGCTCCTTTGAAGGTAGTTACTTTACCAAGATTAGAACTATGTGGTTCTTTAATAGCTGCACGACTTTCACATAAGGTTCAAACATCCTTTCGTTCATCATTTAATGACATTTTTCACTGGACTGACTCTACAATAGTTATTGGTTGGATTAATACTCCTCCAAATCTCTTGAAAACCTTTGTAGCTAACAGAGTTTCGGAAATTCAATCCAAGACAAATATTCAATCCTGGCATCATGTTGGTACCAGAGATAATCCTGCTGATCTTTTATCTAGGGGAACAAATCCAAATTCGTTATTAACCTCACAACTTTGGTGGCATGGTCCTCAATGGTTATCTCTTCCTCAACACGACTGGCCTCTGTCATTATCAACTCCCTCGGATGTTCTACCTGATTTAAAAGATACAATGCAATCTTACACTGTCATTTCAAATTCTCCTATTTTTAAAATTGAGAATTACTCAAGTCTAAATAAATTGAAACGCGTTGCAGCATACT